ACAGGGAAGATCAGACAAAGGAATGTTTTCCTAGATATCAAACTAGGGATTTAAGGTTATTGACCAATTAAAGGTGTTGACCCTCCACATCTCGCAAGACAACTGAAGAACTGGGCCAGCCACTCTTAAATAGCACATTGGCCAGCACAGGTGAAACATCTTCTCACTAACGAGATGGCAACCAGCACAGGTGTAACACATACTGACCAATGAGGTGACACCAATCGGTGCGCCCTACGTGTAAACGTGCTATACGTGTTGAAGTCCAACCTGAAAACAGAAATGGAAAAACCTAAACCTGTGACACCTTTCCCCTTAAGACAACAAATATATCCTATATTTTAGTTGGACAAGTTTGCTCACCACCAACAGAAAACAACTACCATCGCACAACATAATACACTTAAATGCGTCGTTACTTATGCGTCGCCTTCTCCAATATAAGCATTAAATAAGTCAAAACACACACCTTCTTTTCCCCTATTTAAAAAAAATATATATTTTTATTGTTTTTTATAATAATTGCCTAAAACTCAGAAGTTCTGAAAAACTCACGTACGCTTCTACAACTCTCGTTCCCTTGGAACGAGCCCAACTAAAACAAAACTCCTCTCCAAAATGGCAAAACGTACAGTCAAAATAAATTGGGAACCAGGGCTTCACACTGACTAAACACTCAACTTATTGACTGCCCACCCTTAAAAGAAAATCAGCAACCAAGTTCTCCTTAACACAGACATGTCTGATTTCTAGGGGAATCTCCTACAATATCCGTAGTAACTTCCCTCTCGTGATTTTCCTTAGTGGAATGGCCTCAGGGAAACAAGTGACGGTGCACATAATGGTTAAGAGAAACTGGTTACCACTCTTTGCTTTGGGCAAAGGACCAACACAATCCACTAGAGAATTAGGTTGCAAAGATGGAACTGGTACAATTTGGTTTGGTTTACCCGTCCGCTGGCAAACGCGACAGAACTTACAGTAAGCCACAACATCCTGTTTCAGACCAGGCCAGAAGAAAGTACCCAAGATACGGTCATACGTCTTGTTGACCCCAAGACCTGCCATACTACCATCGTGAGCCAACCTCAGTATCTCTTATCGAGGCATAACTGGAATAACAATTTGAGATACACTGGGCCAATCGTCCTGAACAGATGTGGCGCGAGAACGCCATTTCCTCATTAGAACACCATCTCTGTCAAAGTAACCCACACAAAGTTAATCAAATTCCTCCTCTGGACGCATCTCAGAAAAAAGAGGGGAGAGGGAAACATCTTTACTGTGTTCTGCAATCAGCTGCTTCCTAGACATCGAAGTGTCAACTGTAAGGACCCTCTCTTCCTTCAGCGGTCCTACAAACTCGCTCACCTTTGGGGTTTTCAAAGGAGAGTTCAACTCATGGGGGTTTACTGAAATCAGGATCACCCATAAATGTCTCGGACAGATCGATCATGGTGGGATCGCTGACATCCTCCTCAACACTAGACTTGTTCCTGGCGACTTTCTTAGACATAGCGCGTGTAATGGCACATGCTGGGAACACACTAGGATACCTTTCTGATAACCCATCAGGTTCCTCTACTCTGGGTTCCTTACAAACGACAGGATTTGGTACAATCTTCCCTCCAGCCAAAATGTTTCCCAAAATGAATGAGACCCCCTTCACCAGTAGGCTAGGCCTCACTCCAATGACGACGGAACCAGAAATATGATCAGACTCGAGTTCCACCTTATAAAAAGGAACACACTGTAACCAGTTGCTGAAGAGTCAGATAAAGGCAAAACACCCTCCAAAAATGAAGGACTGTGCTGCCCCAGTGTCTCGCAGTACCTTCACTGGTTGCTTAACAGCATCGCCACTCTGCAGAGACACGAACCCATCTGAAAACAAAAGGTTCATACACATCTGATCCAAAATCTTGTTTAGGAGAAACACCAGTCCCAACCAGAGACTTAAAGGGCTGGAGTGCTCCCACAAGAAGAAACTGCTTTTTCTCGCTCTAATTTTTCTGTTTCAACTGAGAGAAAATGTGTCCTTTCTCACGGCAGTAATGACAAACTGACGGACACGAAAAACAATTTTTCTGATGATTTTTATCTTTGGGCACTGTAGAATTGGACTGAAACCTCGCAGTAGGAGGTGACTTCCCTGGTTTGCTTTTTGCGTAGGGATAACTACTGGGTGCTTTGTTTGTGAGGGTAGTTTTATGGGTCAACACAAACTCATCTGCAAGAACTGCAGCTTTCTGAAGAGTGAGATCCTTGTGCTCATAAATGTTGGCAGCAACCATTTCGGCACATTTTTAACTGCTCGAGAAGTATGAGTGTCTTTAAGTCCTCAAGGTCCTTAACCTCTTGAGAACCACACCACCAATCAAAAAGACATTCCCTTGCGAACTCAACATGACTATGTGATTCTATCTTTCGTAATTTACGGAACTGTTGTCTGTATGCCTCTGGGACCAACACGTAAGCCCGAAGGATAACAGCTTTAACTGTGTCAAAATCTGAACTCTGGTCAAGAGATAAAGTGGCGTACACTTTCTGAGCCTTTCCCACAAGAACACTTTGGAGGAGCAGTGACCAAATATCTCGCCGCCATTTTAGGGATGTGGCAATCCGCTCAAACAGAGTAAAATATACATCCACCTCCTGTTCGTTGAAAGGCGGTACAAGGTTGCTGTTCCGAGCAAGATCAAACTTTGTTGAGGGTGCAGGATGGCCTGACTGGATTCGGAGCACAGGTGAGGTAAGTGCATCCTAAGTTTAAGTTTGCTGACGTGAAAATATTGATCGAAAGCATTACATTTGAAAAAATGTATTCTAACCAGTAGCGGTGCGTGGGTAAAATCACTGAGGAAGCCAAGCCAGTAAAAAAGCCATATTACAACCTATGTGTTGTGATAATTGCATTGTTTGCTCCATAACCCATTCGTTCATACGCCACCTTGATATACAATAAGACCGTGACAACAAAAAGACAACAGTCACACAGTGGCGGAATAAATTCAACTACACATTTGTTTGTTTCATCACAAAACCGGAGAACAACATCTGTCCGGTGAAGTCCACAAAGCAAATATTGCATGTAACAAACAGTTATACAGTATGACTTGCAGCATGGTCAAGCAAGTAAATGTTTTTGACAATTTACTAAACAACTACTGATTTAGAACCACAGAGTTACCGCAAGTCAGCACAAAGACAACAGGAGCACTGCCTCTGCTATTCCTGCACCAATTCAACATACATTTAAACATAATCAAATCAACAAGGCTATATATGCTTAGTTTAATACACTGGAAAAAAAACTTAAAGCTACCAAAAACAATTTTGTCCAATCAATGTTGCTAAATATCATGTGGCTGTCCATGGTAGTGATTTCTGTCTGTCTCTTTGTGTGTGTGTGTGTGTGTGTGTGTGTGTGTGTGTGTGTGTGTGTGTGTGCGTGTGCGCATGCACTTGCAGGTAAAAAATAAATAAATAAATGTGGGACTCACCCTACTTGTAGACTAGTTGAACGCCAATGCCATCCTCTCTTTCATGTTGGCAAAACGGTCTATGGCTCTGCACGCTTTTAGTTTTAGATTTCATAGGCTACCTAGCTAAAATGGTTGCTAGCCTAACTTCCTCGCATGGGCAACAATGAACCAGCTAAGTTAGCTAGCTAGTTAACGTGAGCCTGCTAGGCTACATCTAGGCTACATATTGAACTTCAATCGTCTCAGGCCAGTGGCACAATACATTCATTTATGGTTAGATCAGAACCGCCATAATAATAATTGGCTTGTACAGAGAATTAAGTGAAAACCACAAGTCCAAATCCCCATCTCCAGCCATGGCTTAGGAAAGTGCCGATTTTCTAAGCTAGACACGTTTTTCTGACAATTATAAAATTTTGCTTAGGATGTGATTTGATTGGTGTGAAGCCAAATCCAAACTGGCCTCCCTTGGGGGGCGTTTTGCTGCACCAGAACAACCCACACTTGAGCTCAGCTCAATTTTGATTGGCTAATTATTTTATAATTGTTTTATCGAGGGAGGCCAAATGCTTGCTGGCATCAATCAATCAAATGTTACGGTGGCAACATGTCATACTCTTTTGTTACAGACAGCATCAGATACATAGGCTACACATACTGAGACGGGGGGACTCTGTTTCCCTCGCTCAGATGACGTCTCCGGTGAGATTCAGCCACTTGCGAATTGACGGACAATTATGAAAAAACAGAGAGATGAAAGATAAATAATTGTATACTTTTTTATTGTCAAATATTTGGGGAAGCCTGGCTTCCCTTGGCCTCCATGAATACACGTCACTGATTCTAACACTATTGTCTTACCACTGTCTAATTACCATAACATTTACTACTTGCAAATATTGTTTTAATATGTGACGTCTGTCATTGCTTTCATCATCACCTTGTGTGCATTTCTGCTTTGGTATAGTGGGTCTCTAATTTCCATATTTCATTTCAAGCTGTTCTCCTCCCCGTGGTTTAAGTGTGTTGATTAAAGATGTCCTTGGTAAGGGTATCTTCAAAATTAACGTGGCTCAAGTGAAGTCCTATGTGTCAGATTTCCTCTCTGCCCCCCACTGGGCAGTAACTGAGCGTCAGATGCAAATGTTTTCACAGCAGGTGTATTTAGTGAAGCCGAAGGATTCATACAGTCACAATCCTCAGAGAGAACAATGTTGTTGAGAGTTTTGCACTTACTGGTGATCCACACTCTTAGAAAAAAGGGTTCATGTAGAACCCTCTGTAGAAACGGTTCTAAATGGAATCCAAAAGGGTTCTACCTGGAACCAAAAAGTGTTCTTCAATGGTTCTTCTATGGGGACAGCCGAAGAACCCTTTTAGGTTCTAGATAGCAGCACCTTTTCTAAGAGTATACTGATAGCTCAAGTTAAGCTTCTGTGAAAAGCGAAAACCTTCCAATCCAGTACTTAACCTGCCACTCAACTGCTGTGTATTTCCTCTCTCTCTGTTGTAGGAGGTGTGTGCATCTCTCAGTCGGTCAAGATTCCCAGGGAGCCGAAACCGGGAGAGTTTGATAAGGTCATCCGCAGACTAAGAGAAAACCCAAATGCAAGGGTGGTCATCATTTTTGCCAATGAGGATGATATCAGGTAAGGGTATTATCATCGTAGCATTCACACGTTGAAAATTAAATATACTGAAATCATATAAATGTTCATCATAAGAAACACGCAGCATGAAATATTATCAATCAAAGGGAGAAGAGTCAATCGGTGGAAATAAAAAGCTTGACATTTCAATTATGCATTATGAATTACTTGTACATGTTCTTTTGGTGAACGCTATCATAATTCACCCTTTTAGATTCGCCGTCGGTAACTCATGTTAATATGCTTCCTCACATTATCTTAGTTACAACAGGATAAACTTGGAAATTATCTTAATCGTTTAGCCGTTCGTTGTCCTGAAATTAGTCAGTGTTACCAACCGCTGTGCAATCAGCTTCGGATGACTAATGTAGCCATAAGCCTGCTTTAGCAAACTCAGGTGAAAAACAAAAAAACCTGGAGAAAGTATTTGCTATAGATCTATTGTTAACATTTGCTCGTAAATGATTTCTCTGGGCACACAACACACCAGACCATACATACACATCACATTTTGTATTAGGCAGACCAGCCAGACCAATACAATACAATCCAAATTAGTTTTCACCTTCACTATGGATAGGACAGATGTAAGAATGACTGTGTTCAGTCACTGTTGTTTGTGTAGTTCTTAATGCAGTATTGCCCAAACAGTTGGTTCATAGAAAGTGTTACCAAAATATCACATGTATTACTGGTAGCTAAATGTGTTTATCCACTTGTACCAGGCGTCTACTCCAAGCAGCCAAGAAGGCCAACCAGACTGGCCATTTCATCTGGGTGGGCTCAGACAGCTGGGGCTCAAAGATCTCTCCAGTGTTACACCAGGAGGATATGGCAGAGGGAGCAGTCACCATCCTGCCCAAACGCCAGTCCATCAGAGGTGAGGGGGAACGGAGACATGTTTAAGGTTGCTGGGATTAACCTTTAGATTGGCTGATTGATTGATTTGGTTGATTGGTTGATTGACTGAATGATTTCTTGCTTGATTAATTAATTGTTGGGGGGGGGGGGTAAGGGGAACAAATAATGTTTTTAGGTTGAGCGATCAACTTTTAGATTGGTTGATTTGATTGATTTGATTGATTGATCGCTTGATTGATTGGTAGATCTTGTGTAACTTTCCCTAAATGTACAAGGATAAAGGGATTGAGATAAATTACAGTGAGGGAAAAAAGTATTTGATCCCCTGCTGATTTTGTATGTTTGCCCACAGACAAAGAAATGATCAGTCTATAATTTTAACGGTAGGTTTATTTGAACAGTGAGAGACAGAATACCATCAAAAAAGTCCAGAAAAACACATGTCAAAAATGTTAGAAATTGATTTGCATTTTAATGAGGCAAATAAGTATTTGACCCCTTTGCAAAACATGACTTAGTACTTGGTGGCAAAACCCTTGTTGGCTATCACAGAGGTCAGACGTTTCTTGTAGTTGGCCACCAGGTTTGCACACATCTCAGGAGGGATTTTGTCCCACTCCTCTTTGCAGATCTTCTCCAAGTCATTAAGGTTTCGAGGCTGACGTTTGGCAACTCGAACCTTCAGCTCCCTCCACTGATTTTCTATGGGATTAAGGTCTGGAGACTGGCTAGGCCACTCCAGCACCTTAATGTGCTTCTTCTTGAGCCACTCCTTTGTTGCCTTGGCCGTGTGTTTTGGGTCATTGTCATGCTGGAATACCCATCCACGACCCATTTTCAATGCCCTGGCTGAGGGAAGGAGGTTCTCACCCAAGATTTGACGGTACATGGCCCCGTCCATCCTCCCTTTGATGCGGTGAAGTTGTCCTGTGCCCTTAGCAGAAAAACACCCCCAAAGCATAATGTTTCTACCTCCATGTTTGACGGTGGGGATGGTGTTCTTGGGGTCATAGGCAGCATTCCTCCTCCTCCAAACATGGCGAGTTGAGTTGATGCCAAAGAGCTCCATTTTGGTCTCATCTGACCATAACACTTTCACCCAGTTCTCCTCTGAATCATTCAGATGTTCATTGGCAAACTTCAGACGGCCCTGAATATGTGCTTTCTTGAGCAGGGGGACCTTGCGGGCGCTGCACGATTTAAGTCCTTCACGGCGTAGTGTGTTACCAATTGTTTTCTTGGTAACTATGGTCCCAGCTGCCTTGAGATCATTGACAAGATCCTCCCGTGTAGTTCTGGGCTGATTCCTCACCGTTCTCATGATCATTGCAACTCCACGAGGTGAGATCTTGCATGGAGCCCCAGGCCGAGGGAGATTGACAGTTATTCTGTTGTCACCTTCTCACCAAGTTGCTTGCCAATGGTCTTGTAGCCCATTCCAGCCTTGTGTAGGTCTACAATCTTGTCCCTGACATCCTTGGAGAGCGCCAACAAGAGTTTTTCCACCAAGTACTAAGTAATGTTTTGCAGAGGGGTCAAATACTTATTTCCCTCATTAAAATGCAAATCAATTTATAACATTTTTGACATGCGTTTTTCTGTATTATTTTGTTGTTATTCTGTCTCTCACTGTTCAAATAAACCTACCATAAAAATTATAGACTGATCATGTCTTTGTCAGTGGGCAAACGTACAAAATCAGCAGGGGATCAAATACTTTTTTCCCTCACTGTATATATATACACATACATACACATATATATATATATATATATATATATATATATATATATATATATATATATATACACATACATACAGTGGGGAAAAAAAGTATTTAGTCAGCCACGAATTGTGCAAGTTCTCCCACTTAAAAAGATGAGAGAGGCCTGTCATTTTCATCATAGGTACACGTCAACTATTACAGACAAAATGAGGAAAAAAAAATCCAGAAAATCACATTGTAGGATTTTTTATGAATTTATTTGCAAATTATGGTGGAAAATAAGTATTTGGTCAATAACAAAAGTTTCTCAATACTTTGTTATATACCCTTTGTTGGCAATGACACAGGTCAAACGTTTTCTGTAAGTCTTCACAAGGTTTTCACACACTGTTGCTGGTATTTTGGCCCATTCCTCCATGCAGATCTCCTCTAGAGCAGTGATGTTTTGGGGCTGTCGCTGGGCGACACAGACTTTCAACTCCCTCCAAAGATTTTATATGGGGTTGAGATCTGGATACTGGCTAGGCCACTCCAGGACCTTGAAATGCTTCTTACGAAGCCACTCCTTCGTTGCCCGGGCGGTGTGTTTGGGATCATTGTCATGCTGAAAGACCCAGCCACGTTTCATCTTCAATGCCCTTGCTGATGGAAGGAGGTTTTCACTCAAAATCTCACGATACATGGCCCCATTCATTCTTTCCTTTACACGGATCAGTCGTCCTGGTCCCTTTGCAGAAAAACAGCCCCAAAGCATGATGTTTTCACCCTCATGCTTCACAGTAGGTATGGTGTTCTTTGGATGCAACTCAGCATTCTTTGTCCTCCAAACACGACGAGTTGAGTTTTTACCAAAAAGTTATATTTTGGTTTCATCTGACCATATGACATTCTCCCAATCCTCTTCTGGATCATCCAAATGCACTCTAGCAAACTTCAGACGGGCCTGGACATGTACTGGCTTATGCAGGGGGACACGTCTTGCACTGCAGGATTTGAGTCCCTGGCGGCGTAGTGTGTTACTGATGGTAGGCTTTGTTACTTTGGTCCCAGCTCTCTGCAGGTCATTCAGTAGGTCCCCCTGTGTGGTTCTGGGATTTTTGCTCACCGTTCTTGTGATCATTTTGACCCCACAGGGTGAGATCTTGCGTGGAGCCCCAGATCGAGGGAGATTATCAGTGGTCTTGTATGTCTTCCATTTCCTAATAATTGCTCCCACAGTTGATTTCTTCAAACCAAGCTGCATACCTATTGCAGATTCAGTCTTCCCAGCCTGGTGCAGGTCTACAATTTTGTTTCTGGTGTCCTTTGACAGCTCTTTGGTCTTGGCCATAGTGGAGTTTGGAGTGTGACTGTTTGAGGTTGTGGACAGGTGTCTTTTATACTGATAACAAGTTCAAACAGGTGCCATTAATACAGGTAACGAGTGGAGGACAGAGGAGCATCTTAAAGAAGAAGTTACAGGTCTGTGAGAGCCAGAAATCTTGCTTGTTTGTAGGTGACCAAATACTTATTTTCCACCATAATTTGCAAATAAATTCATTAAAAATCCTACAATGTGATTTTCTTGATTTTTTTTTCTCAATTTGTCTGTCATAGTTGACGTGTACCTATGATGAAAATTACAGACCTCTCTCATCTTTTTAAGTGGGAGAACTTGCACAATTGGTGGCTGACTAAATACATTTTTTCCCCACTGTACATACAGTGGGGAGAACAAGTATTTGATACACTGCCGATTTTGCAGGTTTTCCTACTTACAAAACATGTAGAGGTCTGTATTTTTATCATAGGTACACTTCAACTGTGAGAGACGGAATCTAAAACAAAAATCCAGAAAATCACATTGTATGATATTTAAGTAATTAATTTGCATGTTATTGCTTGACATAAGTATTTGATACATCAGAAAAGCAGAACTTAATATTTGGTACAGAAACATTTGTTTGCAATTACAGAGATCATACGTTTCCTGTAGGTCTTGACCAGGTTTGCACACACTGCAGCAGGGATTTTGGCCCACTCCTCCATACAGACCTTCTCCAGATCCTTCAGGTTTCGGGGCTGTCGCTGGGCAATACGGACTTTCAGCTCCCTCCAAAGATTTTCTATTGGGTTCAGGTCTGGAGACTGGCTAGGCCACTCCAGGACCTTGAGATGCTTCTTACGGAGCAACTCCTTAGTTGCCCTGGCTGTGTGTTTTGGGTTGTTGTCATGCTGGAAGACCCAGCCACGACCCATCTTCAATGCTCTTACTGAGAGAAGGAGGTAGTTGGCCAAGATCACGCGATACATGGCCCCATCCATCCTCCCCTCAATACGGTGCAGTCGTCCTGTCCCCTTTGCAGAAAAGCATCCCCAAAGAATGATGTTTCCACCTCCATACTTCACGGTTGGGATGGTGTTCTTGGGGTTGTACTCATCCTTCTTCTTCCTCCAAACACGGCGAGTGGAGTTTAGACCAAAAAGCTCTATTTTTGTCTCATCAGACCACATGACCTTCTCCCATTCCTCCTCTGGATCATCCAGATGGTCATTGGCAAACTTCAGACGGGCCTGGACATGCTCTGGCTTGAGCAGGGGGACCTTGCGTGCGCTGCAGGATTTTAATCCATGACGGCGTAGTGTGTTACTAATGGTTTTCTTTGAGACTGTGGTCCCAGCTCTCTTCAGGTCATTGACGAGGTCCTGCCGTATAGTTCTGGGCTGATCCCTCACCTTCCTCATGATCAATGATGCCCCACGTGTCATGAACCCTGCATCCTGAGTCGGTTCCGGCCTGTGTTGCCATTTTTCTGCTCGGAATCTCCAGTTTCCTGAGGGTTCGTGAACGCTCCCGGCCTGGTTGCCGGGCGACGTTGCTAGGCGGGAGATCTCCCGATTAACCGCACCTGCATCTCATCAGCGGTCTGCACACCTGGTCCTGATCATCACCCTTCTTAAGCCCTGACCTGACATCCATTCCCTGCCGGATCGTTAGCCATGAACAGTATGTTTGTCAGTGTATCAGCCTTGGAGTTTCTAGCGTTAGTTTTGTTGTTTTGCACCTTGTTGGCTTGCCGTGTACTTACCTCCGTTTTGTTTCTATCTGCAGTCAATCTCCCGGAACCTTCACCCAACCCCTGCCTGGTTGTCGGCGGCTGCCGAGCCATTCTTGGATCTACCACTGCACCTCCACCAACTCATCGCCGCCGTCCGCTCTGTCCCCTGGATTATTCTACATCGTTTTTTGAATCTGTTAAATAAATACTCACCTTCGTTTCAACTCACCTTGTCCTGGTCTGCTTCTGGGTTCTGGCTTAGTAAACACCACGTGACACCACGAGGTGAGATCTTGCATGGAGCCCCAGACTGAGGGTGATTGACCGTCATCTTGAACTTCTTCCATTTTCTAATAATTGCGCCAAGAGTTGTTGCCTTCTCACCAAGCTGCTTGCCTATTGTCCTGTAGCCCATCCCAGCCTTGTGCAGGTCTACAATTTTATCCCTGATGTCCTTACATAGCTCTCTGGTCTTGGCCATTGTGGAGAGGTTGGAGTCTGTTTGATTGAGTGTGTGGACAGGTGTCTTTTATACAGGTAACGAGTTCAAACAGGTGCAGTTAATACAGGTAATGAGTGGAGAACAGGAGGGCTTCTTAAAGAAAAACGAACAGGTCTGTGAGAGCCAGAATTCTTACTGGTTGGTAGGTGATCAAATACTTATGTCATGCAATAAAATGCAAATTAATTACTTAAAAATCATACAATGTGATTTTCTGGATTTTTGTTTTAGATTCCGTCTCTCACAGTTGAAGTGTACCTATGATAAAAATTACAGACCTCTACATGCTTTGTAAGTAGGAAAACCTGCAAAATCGGCAGTGTATCAAATACTTGTTCTCCCCACTGTATATACATACATATCCTTTAAAAATATATATATATCCCTTTATTACTTTCCAACCCCACCATCCCTTCCCTAATTGGAGTAAACTAGTGAACAACAACGGTTAGGCCTTTACTTCATGGCTGATCTACCCCCTAAAAAAAAAAAAAAACACAGGACACTTCCAAGCCCGATAGGCTTTTGTAAATTATAAAGCATTTACTGTCCTGTGCTAGCGTCAGTCCCCTTGTCCAAACCTCTGTCATTATCCAGTCAGTCTGCCAGCCAAGCCAAAACTCTGGTCCATAACACAATCAGCCATTATCAATACACTCACTGTTAAAGAAATGCCCACCCTGTCAAAAACGTAGTTAAAATTGTTACCCAAATGCTCCATTATAGAGCATGTAACTACATTCTACCACATGTCAATAACCGTGTTGGCAAGGACACTGTTGCCAGAGTGAGTGCACTGACGATGACAATGATCTGATCGATCTCTTCCAGGGTTTGATCGTTTCTTCATCAGCCGCACACTGGAGAACAACAGGAGGAATATCTGGTTTGCTGAGTTCTGGGAGAACAACTTTGCCTGCAAACTGAGCCGACACGCTTTGAAGAAAGGGTCCGGGTTGAAGAAATGTACAAGTAAGACAATTCTCCTTTCCTTTCTTAACATTGCAACTATGCTGATCTCAACTACCTTTAGAAAATGGTTAAGTTTCACAGATAGAAACAGCCGTTTTCCTGACCATGTGACTGAACCAGGAAAACCCTCTGTCCTTATCATAGAACATAACAGATGTGGCCCATGGCTTATGATACATGACACAATTGTGTACACCAGTTAAAGCTATAGGTACAACATTAGCTAGATAAAAAATCCTTGTGATGAGGTATTACTAGGGCTGTGTGTTTCGGCTGAGTAGACTGTTCGACTGTCCTCCCACCTGGAGATGGCAACAGAACAGGGTAGTAGCAGGTCTCGTTATTCCCTACGGGTTTAAAATCAAATTATGCCTGTTGTGATTTCCGTTGACATATGTTCATATATAATGGCAATCACTGTGTCAAAGCATGTGAAAACAACAATTTAGTTATTCCCCCCAAAAAAATACAAAAAATGAACATGATTTTGGGAATTTTCACAAAATATTATTCTTAGAATAGTCCTTTGGAGGTTGGATTGTTGAAATATATTTGACATTTGTATTTAAAAGCATAATTGAGAAATAATTAATCAAAGTTGGCATATTTAAGACTCCATAATGTTTCATCTGTAGGTATTACAAAGCAAAAATGTGTGTCATATTAAACCTTACCGCTTGCACACTCTTTAACTTTGATATGTCCGTAGAGTATATTATGTTCAACAATATATTGAAAAATTTGCCAAATCAAGTGTTTTTTATTTTCATTAATTTATTGTTTATTGAAATCAAAATACTACTCATATTACAGCTATTTTTGCTTTGTAGCACTTGCTTTGTAGCAGATGAAACATAATGGAGTCTTAAAGGAGGCCTGGGTAAGTCCAAAAATGTCATAAATATGCCAACTTTGATTAATTATTTCTCAAGTATGCTTTTAGATACAAATGTCAAATATATATATCAACAATCCTTCCTCAAAATGACTATTCTATGGATTACATTTCGTGAAAATCCCCCAAATCATAGTCTATTTTTTGTCTTTGGTTTCGTGAAGAATCATTCAATAATAAAATGCAGTTACTGACATAAATACAGTGTATGAAGGAACACTAAATACTGTATCATATAATAGGCATTCACATGTAGAAAATGTACATCCTTAAAATTCATGAAGCGAGCATAATTCATAGTCATGTTCTAATTGGCTTTTAGTAGAAGCCAACAAAGGAAATACATTGTCATTGTGTGTTTGTTTAATCACACTGCTACATGGAACAGCAATCAAGTTCTCGCAATATATTACAAAACTGGCAAAAGCTGCACTTACAAAATAATCTCCTCCCTTTTTGTTTTCTATTAGGTACTGTATGGGGTGTAAGTCCTTAGACTAGCACTGCTGTTTCTGGGAGTGTAGCAAGGCATCCAACTGGAAACTAGAGGACATCTCTCCTCACCCACGCCAGTAATGAAAAAATCATCAATTAAAAATGTTGTGAGTTCAGTAAGGAGACATGTCTTCGGTATCTATTGGGAGAAATATGAAAAAATAAGATTTCAACAGATCAATGTCGTCCATCTAAACAGAAGACTAATGCCAGTCACATCCTCTCAGTGCCACTGTCTACTGCAGCTCTTTTTCATGGATAAACTGGCTTTGTGTGAAGAAAAGATCTGGGAGAAGAAAAAACCCTGCCAGAAAGCCAAGGATATAGCTATAGATCTGTCATCTTAATTTGATCACTATTGTCACAGATAATTTTCCTGTGCAGCAATAAATGCAAATTGTAGTGTATTCAAGGTTTAAAAAGGTTTCTAAAATGTGTAATTTCCACTATGACAAGTTAGCAATAAGCTGAACGATCTGAGTAGGGGTTGTGCAAGTTCTCCCACTTAAAAAGATGAGAGAGGCCTGTAATTTTCATCATAGGTACACGTCAACTATGACAGACAAAATGAGAAGAAAAAATATCCAGAAAATCACATTGTAGGATTTTTTATGAATTTATTTGCAAATTATGGTGGAAAATAAGTATTTGGTCATAACAAAAGTTTCTCAATACTTTGTTATATACCCTTTGTTGGCAATGACACAGGTCAAACGTTTTCTGTAAGTCTTCACAAGGTTTTCACACACTCTTGCTGGTATTTTGGCCCATTCCTCCATGCAGATCTCCTCTAGAGCAGTGATGTTTTGGGGCTGTCGCTGGGCAACACAGACTTTCAACTCCCTCCAAAGATTTTCTATGGGGTTGAGATCTGGAGACTGGCTAGGCCACTCCAGGACCTTGAAATGCTTCTTACGAAGCCACTCCTTCGTTGCCCGGGCGGTGTGTTTCAATCAATTTTATTTTTTCAATCAATTTTATTTTATATAGCCCTTCTTACATCAGCTAATATCTCGAAGTGCTGTACAGAAACCCAGCCTAAAACCCCAAACAGCTAGTAATGCAGGTGTAGAAGCACGGTGGCTAGGAAAAACTCCCTAGAAAGGCGAAAACCTAGGAAGAAACCTAGAGAGGAACCAGGCTATGAGGGGTGGCCAGTCCTCTTCTGGCTGTGCCGGGTGAAGATTATAACAGAACCATGCCAAGATGTTCAAAAATATTCATAAGTGACAAGCATGGTCAAATAATAATCAGGAATAAATCTCAGTTGGCTTTTCATAGCCGATCATTAAGAGTTGAAAACAGCAGGTCTGGGACAGGTAGGGGTTCCATAACCGCAGGCAGAACAGTTGAAACTGGAATAGCAGCAAGGCCAGGCGGACTGGGGACAGCAAGGAGTCACCACGGCCGGTAGTCCCGACGTATGGTCCTAGGGCTCAGGTCTCTCAGTTGGCTTTTCATAGCCGATCATTAAGAGTTGAAAACAGCAGGTCTGGGACAGGTAGGGGTTTCGTAACCGCAGGCAGAACAGTTGAAACTGGAATAGCAGCAAGGCCAGGCGGACTGGGGACAGCAAGGTGTCATCATGCCCGGTAGTCCTGACGTATGGTCCTAGGGCTCAGGTTCTCAGAGAGAAAGAGAGAACGAGAGAATTAGAGAGAGCATACTTAAATTCACACAGGACACTGGATAAGACAGGAGAAGTACTCCAGGTATAACCAACTAACCCCAGCCCCCCGACACATAAACTACTGCAGCATAAATACTGGAGGCTGAGACAGGAGCGGTCCGGAGACACTGTGGCCCCATCCGAAGAAACCCCCGGACAGGGCCAAACAGGAAGGATATAACCCCACCCACTCCGCCAAAGCACAGCCCCCGCACCACTAGAGGGATATCCTCAACCACCAACTTACAATCCTGAGACAAGGCCGAGTATAGCCCACAGAGGTCTCCACCACAGCACAAACCAAGGGGGGGCGCCAACCCAGACAGGAAGATCACGTCAGTAACTCAACCCACTCAAGTGACGCACCCCTCCCAGGGACGGCATGAAAGAGCACCAGCAAGCCAGTGACTCAGCCCCTGCAACAGGGTTAGAGGCAGAGAACCCCAGTGGAGAGGGGAACCGGCCTGGCAGAGACAGCAAGGGCTGTTCGTTGCTCCAGAGCCTTTCCGTTCACCTTCACACTCCTGGGCCAGACTACACTCAATCATATGACCTACTGAAGAGATAAGTCTTCAGTAAAGACTTAAAGGTTGAGACCGAGTCTGCGTCTCTCACATGGGTAGGCAGACTGTTCCATAAAAATGGAGATCTATAGGAGAAAGCCCTGCCTCCCGCTGTTTGCTTAGAAATTCTAGGGACAATTAGGAGGCCTGCGTCTTGTGACCGTAGCGTACGTATTGGTATGTACGGCAGGACCAACTCGGAAAGATAGGTAGGAGCAAGCCCATGTAACGCTTTATAGGTTAACAGTAAAACCTTGAAATCAGCCCTTGCCTTAACAGGAAGCCAGTGTAGGGAAGCTAGCACTGGAGTAATATGATCAAATTTCTTGGTTCTAGTCAGGATTCTAGCAGCCGTATTTAGCACTAACTGAAGTTTATTTAGTGCTTTATCCGGGTAGCCGGAAAATAGAGCATTGCAGTAGTCTAACCTAGAAGTAACAAATGCATGGATTAATTTTTCTGCATCATTTTTGGACAGAAAATTTCTGATTTTTGCAATGTTACGTAGATGGAAAAAAGCTGTCCTTGAAACAGTCTTGATATGTTCGTCAAAAGAGAGATCAGGGTCAAGAGTAACGCCGAGGTCCTTCACAGTTTTATTTGAGACGACTTTACAACCATCAAGATGAATTGTCAGATTTAACAGAAGATCTCTTTGTTTCTTGGGACCTAGAACAAGCATCTCTGTTTTGTCCGAGTTTAAAAGTAAAAAGTTTTCAGCCATCCACTTCCTTATGTCTGAAACACAGGCTTCTAGCGAGGGCAATTTTGGGGCTTCACCATGTTTCATTGAAATGTACAGCTGTGTGTCATCCGCATAGCAGTGAAAGTTAACATTATGTTTTCGAATAACATCCCCAAGAGGTAAAATATATAGTGAAAACAATAGTGGTCCTAAAACGGAACCTTGAGGAACACCGAAATGTACAGTTGATTTGTCGGAGGACAGACCATTCACAGAGACAAACTGATATCTTTCCGACAGGTAAGATCTAAACCAGGCCAGAACTTGTCCGTGTAGACCAATTTGGGTTTCCAGTCTCTCCAAAAGAATGTGGTGATCGATGGTGTCAAAGGCAGCACTAAGGTCTAGTAGCACGAGGACAGATGCAGAGCCTCTGTTTGGGATCATTGTCATGCTGAAAGACCCAGCCACGTTTCAACTTCAATGCCCTTGCTGATGGAAGGAGGTTTTCACTCAAAATCTCACGATACATGGCCCCATTCATTCTTTCCTTTACACGGATCAGTCGTCCTGGTCCCTTTGCAGAAAAACAGCCCCAAAGCATGATGTTTCCACCCCCATGCTTCACAGTAGGTATGGTGTTCTTTGGATGCAACTCAGCATTCTTTGTCCTCCAAACACGACGAGTTGAG